ATACGGCGTCGATGGTCAGACTTTACTTCGTACACTGACCATTCAGAGGATCTGCGAAGGCCAACAACTTGATCGTAACGATGGAGAAGCACCTGTAGTGCCTGGTGGAAGCGTTCCGTAGGAATAGACGTGAAGAAGCCGGACAGGTCTTGAGACACCAGGTGGATGTATTCGTCGGGATCAGCCTTTGACAGTGACTCCCACAGCTGCTGGACAAGTTCTTGTACTGAAAGTTGTCCTGCAATGTCGGGAAAAGTAACTTTGGTAAGTTCAAATATGAGGGCGCCGAAGACCGTGAGGAAAGGAGCTGCCCACGTGCGAAAGAATGAAATGATGGGTCGTGCTTTCTGCCAGTCCTTGGTCGGCTTTGGAAGGATGCGAGCTGTGGGCAATGGTGCTTGAAGTCGAAGTCCCCATGCATATCGTTGAAGTACCGTAGTGACCACTTCAGAGCGAAAAGATGCTGCGGATTCACGACATAGCGAAAAGACATCTCCAGAGCAAAAGGTCTTACGCATCAGTATGGCAAACAATGAAGGGCAAATCACATGTGCACGAGAAGGGAAATGATCCGCGGGAGTTACAACCCACGAGGACAGAGAAGCCACGGTGCGCTGCAGTGATCTTGAAGGTTGGATCGATGGGTGTCCATCAATTGAGTCAAAACCGGCTGTAGGTCAGCAAGAAGACTGGAACCATGTACATGCCACCGACGAGCTAGTTTGCGAAGTTGCGTAGTGAAACGCTGATGCAACAAGTCAACATCACCGAAATACTGATCCTTCATAGACGCGGCCATGATCTCCATGTCAATGTCCGCATTGATGCGTGAGAACTCATCTACCATTACAGCATGTTCATGTGCACGGTGTAGGTGGTGATCATCAATGTCCAAACAGCGACACGGAAAAGATGTTTCAGGAGTCCACCTGCGTTGCCATGTGCGGTAGTTGTAGATCCTGTCGCCCAACGTGGCGCTGCGAGTTTCCATCACCCGGATCTTTGGAAGGAATAGGGAGGGAAACAAGTCACGATGAGAAGCAATCCAGCTTTGTAACCATGTGCCAAGTTGAGCTTTCCAATTCCGGACATGTAGAGGCGGTAGAAGTAGTTGTGTCAAAGTGCTGGGTGATTGTAGCTGTCGTTTGCGCAACACCTGGGCGAGGAGTTTCTGTGCCTTGGAGCGAAAGGGCTCGTTGACAAAGACGGAGAGTCGCAGAAAGTAGTAAAGCTGAGTGGGAGGAAAAGCCGCCGACAGTAGGTCACGCATGGCTTGGAACGATGCGCCTGTATTGGATCCCAGCTGATAGAGAATAGAGTAATGTGCTTGAATGTCATCCAACATGTCGGGTCGTAATTGCCGTTGAAGATCCGGATGTAGTCGTCGTCGAAAGCGTTTGTGTAAACCGAGGGAGGTGGGAGACGACAACGAATGACGTCGAAAATCAACGAGATGCTCCCGGAAGCCCACCTTTCGTAGAAGTCTATGTACCCAGGGCGCATTCAAATGCGGACGTAGCAGGTATTGCCACTTGCTTTCTTGGACCCAAACCGAGGAAACGGGAAGTTTAATCTCAACCGGAACGGCACAGAAAAGCCAGTAAGTATTGGAGCGCTTCCAGTAGTGAAGCGCGGGTTCGAAGAAGGCATGACGTCCCCGGAGTAGTTGTAGAAATTTGCGACTGCGTGAGTGTTCACGTCGTAGAACGTCCTGATCAGTCGCACCAACGTAGTAAGGCGTGTGCCATGGAGAAAGTCGGATGTAGACGCACGGTTGTTGATGATGACCTGGATCGTGAATGAAGTCATAGAGGTCCGGAAACCGTGTCCGCAATGAGCGAAGATGTCTCGTGTCAACAAAAGTGGAGTGCATAATTTCACACAAGAGAGATGCCTTGTAGAAGTGAAGAACTTCAAAGAACGGTGGAAAGTAGCCGTGATCTTGAGAAATGAGACGTTGCAAGAAACTGATCAATAAATAGGCGGTGCACCGACATCTGTGAAGCTCATACCTGTTGGCCACAGTGTGTTGAGAATGCGACATAGCGTGATTCGGAATCTGAAGGGCAATCCGGACCACAACTAATACCTCCAGAATGAGGCCCAACCACGGTAGTTGCGTGATTGATTCGTACTCATCGGCTGGTATCGACGGTGGTGGTAGTCCAGGGAAGCAGTATTGCCAGCACGTAGAGAACATGGTCAACGAGTGTAGAAAGTTGTCCAGAGACTGCCATTGTGCAACATCATCATAGATTCCACAGCGGCGAAGCTCAGCCAACATGGTGAACATGCAACCAATGAAATCTACCGTGAGGCGGCGACATGAATACAAGCTGCACAGAATATCACGCACAAGACAATGCAAGCACAGTCAAGCACAAGATCAAACTAATGCAAAGCAAGAAGATGACGGACGAGTTTTAAACCTTGACTCATCCGTGACACGGCTGCCGCTCCGGGCTCATAAGTGAACGAAGTTCGTCAAGGTGCCTGCTCATCCGCTGAGTAAGCGAGCGGTCACGATGAGGTGACTCAGCGCCTTCTCAGTGAGCTTGGTGAGATAGCCGGGCTCCAGTCCCCACGAAGCCGCCATCGCCCCGAGAGTGGGTGCGTCGCCTTTTGGCATGCGTTGACGCGCCTGAAGGAGTTGCGTCGCCATGGAATCCAATGACTTGTTGCCGTTGAGCCGGGACGGGTGATTGGCCCACTTGACCAGTGACGTCAAAGTTGTGGTTGTGGGCGATCGCTTGAGATACAAGCGTGGCTGGTCACTGGTCCATGTGTAGTACTTGACAACTTCTTCCGGCGTGCTGTGCATGGTGAGCAATTGTGAGGCCGCCGGCTTGGACGGTGGTGAAGAAACTCCGTGAAGAGACTGAATGATCCGGGGCTGCACCGCGCTATCAAACGACTTGCCATCAAGGGTCGCTGCGCTGGCCGTAGGGAGGGAGCTGGCAGGCGACGAGGATTGTGTGTGGTTGACCGGTGGTGGTGTAACCAACTCTGCATCATCTTTCTGGCTTGCCACCGTGGGGGAAGTCGAAGCGCGCAGCGATGCTGAATACTGAGCCTGGAGCAGTTCATGAGCACGATTTAGATCATTGTACTTCTTGACCATGTCATCTGTCTGGGTGGGAGGCGTGAGAGATGCGTGGTGTTGCTGAAGAAATTGAAGTACCAAGTTGGCCAAATGGTCATGAACCTTGATCCGCTGATTGAAGTCATCGAGGTTGAGTCCCAGCGAATTGGCAAGGTCCTTTTCCAGGGTGAGCAGGTTGATCGACTGTGATCGTCGTAGTAGTTTGGAACAGGTACTCCAAAGCAAGGCCTCAGTGCGAGTGCGAAAGCCTTCCCACGTCACGAATCTGCCGTGAGCGAACGGTCGGAGCAGCCAGTTGGGGAGGCCCCCATGAATAACCTGAACCAGGCGAACGTCACGAATGTCCATGCCTGACATGTCGCGTTGGTTGCTATGCGGAGTGTTGGCAACCGTCATGGGCAGGCTGAAGTTGTAGAGTTGATTGACATCTAACATGCCATCTCCAGGTGTCCAGTCAGGTGATGGTGTAAGCCAGGCTTTCTGAGGACGAACCGGTGAGGTCCAGGTGGCGGTATAGGTTGCGAGGTAGTGACCGGTGGTGACATCACGGACGGCATGAACTTCGTTGGCGTGGGCTCTGGAGGAATCGGCATCATGTAGTTGATCGATGGATGTTGGAACTGCTGCGTGGGACTAGGAATCGATTGAAAATTGGTGGGCATCATCGGGAAATTGTTGGCGGAGTTGTAGCCAGAATTGTGTTGCCAAGATACCAGGTTGTTCCAATCCATGCCCTCCGAGACGTGGTGATCATTGTGTTCACGTCGGTGTGCTTTACGAGCTTGAGGAGAAGTACTCCGATCGCGTCTGCGCCGAGTCCTGGATCTATCACGATCATCACGTCGAGACATGGTGACGCAACCGACTCTCAATCTTCACACTTCCACCTTGAGAGAAACGAATCCGACAACATGCAAATCTATGCAAATGCAAGTCATCGGCCCCCAGCTGCGATGGTTGAAGAAATGAATTCGACAAAAGGTAAGTCGATGCAAGTTGATGTCAGCGTCCATCAGCAGCATTGGTGCAAGAAATGAATCTGACAAATGAAAGGCAATGCACGGTCAAGTCAGCAGCAATCAACCGCTGTGGTGAGAGCAACAAATCCAACAAATGGAAAGCGAATGCAATGCAACTAAGCAGCCGTCAGCAGCTATAGTGAATCCGACAATTACAAGACAATGCAAATTCAAGTCAGCAATCTTCAACCGCTATGATACGAGCAACAAATCCAACCAATGGCAAGCCAATGCAATACAAGTCGGCAGCCAGCAGCTGTGGTGAGACGTCACTATGGTCTGACCGCTGTCTTCCCTTTAGTGAAACCTCGTTCCTGGTTAAATGTGAAATTCCGCTGTTCTATGATAAGCACGTTGAGGTCAAATTTTCCGACAGAGCCGGCCCGGGGTCACACAATGGGTACACCCGAGGATTCCCCACGAATGGGGTGTACACACTTAAACTCCAAATGGAGAGTGCTAATCTTTCGAGTACAACTGATGAGTCTCGAGTACAACTGATGAGTCTCGAGTACAACTGACAAGTCTAAAGTCGGATGAGGTTCGGCTGGCAAGTCACTTGGCTTCACTCTAGTGTCGAAAACGTTACAAGTTCCAACATGAAGCACACACAGCGAGCGAAAGGAGAGGGCCAAAAGGACTTTCATCAACATCACTTCACAAAAGCAGGTACACACGGGTGATCAATCCGTGCATCCACCATCAAGCATAGCTTCGTTGGCCAGCGTTTGCTTGGTGGCCGCTGGCCCCCTGCTTCCGAAAACGGCCCAAGGTGGTGACAGGGTATTCTGTCACTCCGCACACACACACACAAATCAACAAACCAACTGCAAAGCGCGACTAGCCCCGATCCAAGGTCCCATGGTTGAGGTCGCCACAAGGCCCAGAGACGGGCTGAAGCCACGGAGTTAGGCCGAGCCAAGGCGACCTGAGCAGAAACCCAGCTGGAACCCGAGCTGTCCGGTGCTCCGGTGCGGTAAAATACATGCAGAACAGATCTCTTCCGCAATTTTGACGCGAAAGGGCGGCAAACGGCCAAAGACAACCAAGAGGCATGGCGGAAGACAAACTTGGTTTGACATCTTGCAAGGTGAATTTTGCTCATATTGCCTCCCATATGGTCAAAACTCGCAATGTCACAATTGGTATTGTCTCATGTTTGCTTAACTCCTGGAAACGACGGAAAGGGATAAGTTGTAGACAAGAAACAAAGATATTCTGAGATTGGCCATGGCCATTTCAGAGAATCTCAAACCTTCATGAAGATTGGGAGGCAAAGATAAACATGAAATCCACATATAACAACAACTGATGTTTCCTTATATAAGGATCTTATGGTCGTGGATAAAGGCTCTCCCTCGATTCAACTACTTCTTTTTGATGAGTCTGTGCTTAGCGTTCTGCTGGAGACGCCCTCAAACACACCAAAAACAATGAACACAACATAAACACACATGAGTGTCGCCGAGTTGGATTAGTGAGTGGGTGCCCGTCCTTTCAGATCCTTTATCATATGACGGGCAACTTCTCAATCACTATTCATCCCTGAGCCTCTCTCTTCTTCCCTGGTCTCATTGCATTCCAAAGGAATTTCTATCAGATCACTTTTATTGGAAGAAACCCAATTCCCTTTAGTCATGAGTCTTAGGCAATCCTTACCATGGCTGTCTCAATTTTATATTAGGGGGTTCAGGATCATCCCTATCAACAACCAAGTAAAAAGTGTCAAATGACCAGGGCACATGGGTGTGTCGAGAAATAATATGACCGACCAACAGTGTTTAGTTCCCTTGAAACCCGACTCCAAAAAGGGTGCACGGTGTTTAAGTTTCGACAAAAAAAAGGAGAAAAAAAAAAAAAGCAGGACCGCAAAGCAGCAGATGATGTGGGAGAGAGGAACCATTCTCCCCCAAAGAAAAAAAACACAAAGGAGGAAAACAAACCAAACACCAGAGTACCCTCACTCCCACTAACATGGCGCCTGACAGGGGGTTTCTCCAATAGTAAAATGATCTTCCAGGTACCCTCCCACAGGTGTTATGTTAGTGGAAGGGAGGGTGTCCTTTCACTCACTTCCTGAGCTCTCGATCTATCGAGGAAATCGAGGCGCCACGTAACGCTTCAGCAGCAGGTCCCCCAGGAAGAGCAACGCCCAGAAGGTCCAGGTGGGATGTGCGTGGCACCACCTGATTGCATAACTGCAAAACCGACAATGTTCTGTTTTTTTTTTGGGGGGGGGGTCCCCTAAAATGTATATTTTAGGCGACCCCCAAAGTTTATCCTTTTTTCAACATGTGTCACGGGTGTGGGTTTCAGGCGCCTCCACCTTCGCTTCTTTCGGGCGGTGGAGCTCCTCGAATTTCTTAACGTCCAGAAGACCCGAGCCAATCCAAGCTTTCGCCGGTTCAATGGAGCATCTACTTGGTTTTTCCTCTCGAAAAGATCCAAGCCAAGGTCTCAGACCTGAGACCCGTCGTGCTCACGAAAGTAATCGTACGTCGTGCCCCGCAAACTTGGATCCCGGTGGCCAGCCTTGGTCCATGAAATCATGTTTAATGAATTCCGTGATTTCGCGGCTCCTTACATTTTCCCTTTAAACATGACCACTACAAGCTCACTTGAAACTGGCCCCAAACAAGGTGGTGTAAAAAAAAAAAAAACAAAGGGGGGAGTCACGGAATTTCGTGGTTGGCCAGAACCGTGAAACGCGACCTGGCCCAGCGGAAAAAAAAACAAAAAAAACAAAATGACGCCCTTGAAACGCTTCCAACATGGGATCACACCATCCGACACATGGGAATTCCTTTTGACGCCCCTGAGGTGTGTCCCCATGGGTCCTTCTCATACTGGGAAGACACCATCCGATGCCCGCTTCATCCAATCCGATGCCTCATGCCGTGCGGGTGGTCCCACATCTGCAGGCGGTACTCGTAAAACATCTCGCCCCTCAGTGAGGTGGAGCTTGGGACCGGGAGGGGTGGAAGCAATCACCATGGTGTTCAAGCAAATGGTATTACTGTAGTATTGCTAAAAATGTGGTACGAGGCCAATACTACCAAGCCAGCAGAACACTCCCCTCAAAGCCTGCCAATAGATTCCTGTTCATGTGGCGAAGCGAAGGGTATCCTAGCATCGCTTCACCATCACTCTCCACCCCAGTCGCCATCAAATGGTTTGCATGGCTTAAGGTCCCGGCGGCTTGGCATCCCTCGACATCCAGTGGACGGGCCTAAAGCGCACCCGGGGCGGGGGCAACCGCAAGTTGGTTGTGTCTCAAAGGGAAAACAGAACGGGAACAACCATGTTGTGCCAAGGTTCAGACAAAACCATATATGGCCGCATGGTGGCACAGTCTCAAAGCAATCATTCGCAGGGATCCTTTGCCAAGCAGAAACTCGCGCAAAATTGGCAACCCCAAAGTGGATAGGCGGGCGACACCAACAAACAACGACAAAAACCCATCCTCAAATCACAGACCACGCGTGCGCGCCCGGGCGCCCGCCCGCCCGCCCTCACGCACCCACCCACCCACCCCGCACACGCCGTCACTGAGACATGTTGATAAAGTAAGCCCTTTTGTTTTCATCCACATACCTGGTTCCATGTTTTCGATAAAGAGAGGGCCCTCAGCTCATCGTTGACCAAACCTTTCCATCCGCAACTTCCATTTTGAGAACCACACGTGCATTGCCCAAGGCTCCCGCATCACGGGAAAAGGGTAGCTCGGGGTGCTTTGAAGCCTGGCACTTTCGAGCGGTGTGTGCAAAGTCAGCGGAAACACAGTTGAAAGTTGGAAGGACATCCAATGCGGAAGCTTGCTGGAAGCAAGGCGTTCTCCCAACCCTATCGTGCCAAGGGTGCATGAGGGCAGCTTGGTGAGACAAGGATGGACGCGGCATGATCTTCCAGCCTCCGCATTTGCGGATTCTGTGGCATGTTTTGATCCATGAAGCTTCGTATTCATATTGAACATGATCGATGCACCTCCACGAGATCCGTATGATTCACGCACCTACGCTGGACATGGGCCACGCCTCTAAGGCTCAATGCCATTGGGTTCAATGAGCAGCTTCACGTGACTGATGACTCCACCAGCGAAAATGGTCACAACACATTTGGATTCTGCAAACAGGTACGAAAGGCATTGGCATTTGCTTTCAGGACACACTTGCTAAGTGGGGATGGGCAAAACGGACACAAAATCTGCTGCTTGAGTCTAGATTGGACTTAATTGAAGGAAAGGACACAAGGGTGCTACTTAGAGGAAAATGAACTCGTGCAATTCCCCCGTCTGCTGAAACTTGTTTGAACATGTTTGCACCTATCAGCTTGAATGAAAAACGGAGCTGAGCAGGTAAGTTACCAGTGGCCCCCAAGCAAGGCGCACAATCATTAGTCAGTATAGTGATTCTTTCCAATCCGGCTACCGTAGCCAAAAAGAAGAGGTGTTGACTCTGACTATGACTGAGGTGGATCACACACGACAAGAACGATCCTTACGTGAATTAAACTCAACGAGTCAAACATATTCACACTCCAGCGTGGAACGCAATTACCTCAAAGCTCCGATCCAGCATAAACCGCCCGCATGGAGGGCAGCATGACTTTGTTAATGGTCAACAACACCACCACAATCATGGCAACGCAACTCCTACCCAGCTGCAAAACAAACACAAGCACATAGCTTTCCACACGAAAGGCACGTGAACAGCTGCATGCATAGCCACAATATGCACAGCCCTTGTCGAAAGACGTTGCAATAATTCATGCCCATTGGCTTCAGTACAAAGAGCGGTGCACGCAATTTCCAACCTAAACGCAAGCAACTTCTCCAATTGGATCCCCGAACCAACCGCCAATTGCCTTCAGCAGGTTGAAGTTCCGGGGCCCCAATCGACATCGAGAGCAGGGCTTTTGTTGCTGAAACATGCCAAGATTCCTTGCCAGAAGGAATTAAAGTAGCATCGCATAAGTGGAAAGAAACCACTTGGGCTCAATCAGGTTGAGCCGGTAGCTGGCCTGAACCCTGCTACTAGCAACCACGCAGCAAAGCAATTCAGCTAACCACCCGCTTGTAAAGCAACATGTCCACTCCAACAACGTAAGCCAATACTGACACACCTAGAACACATCCTAACACGATGCAAACCACCACACACATTTGCTACAAAATCGCAACAGTTGGCACAAGCAACAGACGCGCCAGGGCGTTCGCCTGGTGGCAGGGAAGATGGCGTCCACGCCCGGTGCCACCAGTTGGTCCACATCCAGCTGGATGCCCACTGGGTGCGGAAAGCAAGCCACAAGAATCAAAGGAACCCAAAACCATCCCCCACCATCCCCAACCAACCCCAACCAAGCAACCAATCAACGATCACCAACGCCACCAACCACAACCAACCCCAACCAAGCAACCAATCAACGAACACCAACGCCACCAACCCCAACCAAGCAACCAATCAACGAACGCCAACGCCACCAACCCCAACCAACCCAAACCAACCAAACAACCAGCACATACAAGCAAGCAACAGACAAACACTCGACGACAGACAGACAGACAGACAGACAGACAGACAGACAGACAGACAGACAGACAGACAGACAGACAGATAGACCGACCGACGGACGGACAGACAGACAGACAGACAGCCAGCCAGACAGACAGACAGACAGACAGACAGACAGACAGACACACAGAAAGACAGACAGACACTCAGACAGACAGACGGACAGACAGACAGACAGCCAGACAGACAGACAGACAGACAGACAGCCCCCAGCCACCCAGCCAGCCAGCCAGCCAGGCAGCCAGCAAGCCAGCCAGCCAGGCAGGCAGGCAGGCAGGCAGGCAGGCAGACAGACAGACAGACAGCGAGACAAACAAACACAAAGAATAACAGAGAGGCAGAAGACACACACACACACGAACCACCACACAAAGACACAAGAGCATAAACACCTTAGACCAGCATGCTTCTTCACACCACACAGTACTCGAACATGCTCAAACCAACCCCTTCCCTGAACATAAGAGTTGCTCCCCTCAACAACAACAACCACCTTTTTGGGTAGCTCTTGCTTGGAAATTCTCGAAAAAGGGTTCGTCCTGGGAACAAGCGCTGGCACGCGAGTGCTGGTACGCGAGTTGCGGGACGGACGGATAGACACAGGCAGACGCAGAAAGAGACAAACAGACAGACAGACAGACAGACAGCCAGGCAGGCAGGCAGGCAGACAGACAGACCGACAGACCAACAGACCGCGCGACCGACAAACACACACACACAGACAGACAGACAGACAGAAAGACAGACAGACACTCAGACAGACAGACAGACAGACAGACAGACAGACAGACAGACAGACAAACAGACAGACAGACAGACATAGACAGACAGACAGACAGACAGACAGACAGACAGACAGACAGACAGACAGACAGACAGACAGACAGACAGACAGACAGAGACAGACAGACAGACAGACAGACAGACAGACAGACAGACAACAACAAACAGACAGACAGACAGACAACAACAAACAAACAGAGAGAACAACAGCCAAACAGACATCAAGACAAACACACAAACAAGCTAACAAACCGATTGTGCAGGACATGATCCATCTGTGCCGCTCTTGGACTCAGTATCCAGCCTTTGGTGCGAGCCGCAATCATCGCACGAATCTGGCGAGTTGAGTTTGTGCGTGCAACCCGCAACATGCGTGCTGGCCTCTGAAAGTGCCAGCCGGCTTCACCAACAACAACCCCGCCCTCCCCGGCAAACAGGTCACTTAGGGATCGCTCAAACGGTTCACTTAGGGATCACGGTCACTTAGGGATACACGCTCACTTGAGGATCACATTCACGGATCACTTAGGGACCACATTCATTGATGACGGGGGTGGGGAGGGGGGGGGGTTGGTGTGATAAGCACACCCGCTCAACTGCTGCAGACCAGCCTGCTCCTTTACCAGATTGCAAAATAACGGGGGGGGGGGGGTGGGTGGGGGGCATGATAAGCACACCCGCTCAGCTGCTGCAGACCAGCCTGCTCTTTTACCGGATTACAAAATAACATGGTTCTGGGGGGGGGGGGTTGGGAGGGGTGCATGGAAGCACACCCGCTCAACTGCTAGCCTGCTCTTTTACTGGATTACAAAATAACATGGTTCTGGGGGGGGGGGCATGGTAAGCACACCCGCTCAACTGCCGCAGACCAGCCTGCTTTTGTTCCGGATTACAAAATATCATGGTTCTGGGGGGGGGCATGATAAGCACACGCTGAACTGCTTCATCCCAGCAAATTCATCTCTTTCTGGGGGTGGGGGGTGGGATGGGGGGGGGGATGATAAGCACACCCGCTCAACTGAACCAGCCCAGCCTGCTCTGTAACGAAATGGGGGCATGATAAGCACAACCGCTGAACTGCTTCATCCCAGCAAATTCATCTCTTTCTGGGGGTGGGGTGTGGGGTGTGGGGTGGGGTGGGGGGGGGGATGATAAGCACACCCGCTCAACTGAACCAGCCCAACGCCGCAGGGCATACATGTCAACACGCATGCACACAACCACATAATACATGGACTCGCCAGCACACATAGTAGCATATGTCATGAGACATGCCCGCCACATATGTCATGAGACATACACGCCAACAAGCACAGACAAGCGCATACATGCAAACACATGCGCGCATATTAATACAAACATACATCGCGAGGCATACATGTCAACACGCATGCATGCACGACAAGCCTTCTGCAAAAAGCGATCCCGGAGCGATCCATTTGCGCGATCCCTAAGCGAACCATTCGCGCGACGCCTAAGTGACCCACTGCCCGCCCTCCCCACCCCCCAAGACCCAAACATCAGGCTGAGTTGAATGCTCAAGACCATGGCCCAGAGTTCAAAGATCAGACTGGCCAGAAACCAACTGCCTTTTTCAGGGAGATGGGAGATTTCGAACCTTTCCAATCGCCGCTCCCTCTTGGCGTCTTTTGTAGAAGCCTCCACCAGAAATCGAGGAGTCGCACATTTGGCATGACTCCGCTTTTTACAAGTGAGCTGGAAAAACAAACTAGTACTAAAACTCTTCTCTCAAGTTGTTTTCATTGTAAATCCAAGCGGCGGTCTTCATAAGCATGAGGTCCCCCAATAGCATGCCGCTTTAAGTGTATGAGGTCTCATGTGTACACACCGCTGCAAATTGTCTGCTAACAAATTCACTCGGCAAAATTGCTGGGATCTGCAGAAAAAAGAAAATGCAAAATACACAAATGGGCCACTCCTGCTCCAAGCAGTTTGGGGGCATCTGTGGGCTGCGCGCGACTTGCGCAGGGCTTGCGCGAAAACTTGTTTCATCTTTGGGCCATGGTGATGATGATGATGATGATGAGGATGATGAGGATGATGATGATGATGATGATGATGATGATGATGATGAATCATCACTGCGTCACTTGCGCTTTACTTGCGCTTTGCTTGCGCAACCCCGTCTTTGACTTGCGTGGCCGCTCCTGCAACACACTCCTGCCCTTCAAATTACAAACCATGCCTTACATTCACACATACAACGGGCTTTCTTTTTCGGCTCAAGTGGTATTCTAAACACTTCAACTACTGGAAACATGGCGCCCGGCTGTAAGGTAAGGGTAGGGGGTATCCTGTCCTCCAGGTCAAACTGGTTTAAACAAAAGGAACAAGTTGTTTGTGCCCTTTGAAGTAGTCTTACCAGAATCCTCAAAATTATTGAAACGTTGGCTGCAGTTCAAAAGGCCACCCTAAGCAACACCGACCGTGCTTCGGGGTGACATGTGTATGCATGCGCGCGCATTGTTGTTGCAAGATGCGAACGACGTGGATCAGCCGCGGATCAAACAATGCTTGCGTCCAGGGTAGTAAGTGTAACAACGCCATGTCACGTTCGCCAGCTCCCAATACCTCTCCTTGACACATCACCCCCACTGCTCAAACTCCGCCAAGAAGCTGATGTTCAAAATGACCCCGAATTGTGTTTCCGATGCTTTGTCATCGCTGTTCCGCCCAACCGTCCTGTGACCAAAAAACAACACGGGGGCGCCATGTGTTGGCTGACTGGCTGGCGGGTTGGCTGGGCTGGCTGGGCTGGCTGGTTGGTTGGGGTTGGTTCTTTGGTTTGGCTGGTTATAGACAACATAGAGAATACAGAACTGGAAATCAAACGTTCCATCTTCTCTCACCGTCTCATTTTCATTTCTTGAGATTGGATAAGAGAAACGAGATGGGGAGATGAGACCAATGAATCATTCTGGGCTTTCCCACTCACTCGCTTATCTCGTCCCCATTCTGATGATGAGGGATGATCCAGCTAATACTGAGGCAGGGCAGATGGAGTATTAAACAAATGAACGTGCACACACATATATATATATACACATAATATACATAGAGAGATAATTATTATTTGATAATGTTCTCCTCTCAGCTACCAGCAATACTATTCTGCCAGACACCGTGTCTTGCATGTGCACATGTGTATACATATATATATATATATGTCTATCATTGTCTACATGTATAACTACTTTTGTTAACCACATATACATGTATGCACACGGCGTGTGCGCTCAGAATATCCATGCAATTTCTCTCCTCTGTCCACAGGCAGCTCCTTGTTGAAATTGAAGGACACCGGGTAGCTCAAGCCAGGGTACATCCTTGTCACACCGGTTGTCAAAAATAGTGGGGCTACCTAGTCGGTATGTCTTCCACCAAATGTTTGCAAGTACAAGGATGCACCAACTTGCCATGAAACTGACATGTTCGACTTTCCTCCTGATGGGTCAACTTGAAACTGGTACTCCTCCAAAAAAGTTCTTGTTGGGGGGGAGGGGTGAATGCTACCCTCGTTTGACCCCGGGCTGGAACACTGTTGCCCCTAGACAAATCCCTTGAGGCCCCGCATAACAAACCAGCGCATGCCGAGCAGTAAGCAGCCCCCGCAACCCCCATGGAATTTGGCTCTACAATCCTCAGTAGCAAAGGGTCATACCAGTATAGGAGGGCTGCACCCTACTGTACTCCTGCTAAACTTGGACGAGCCGTTGTATTCCTCAGGCGCTTGGGCCTTTCACAAATCCAACAGGCCAGCGATCTGTTCCAAGGGCACAGGGCCTTGCCTTTCGAGACGCAGGTTGCGCCCAACTGGCCATCCAAAATTGGGCCACTGAGTGCGTAGGTTGCTTTTAGGGTATGGCTGCCCTTTCTCGGACTGGACTGAAACAAGGCTGCAAAGTTTGCTTTGGGGCAAGCCGGGTTGGGACACCATTGAAAAGCCGTTGCTTTGGGGCAACCAGGGTTCACCTGCACGGCTTGGAAGGTTGCTATCTTTTGCCCCAATCAGAGCCATTCCCATGCTGACTGAGGGCGTCATTTGCCAAGCAAGGAACTCGCACGATACCCCCTGAAAGCACCGCTCGGCCACGTGGAACAAAACACGTCCCTGCGTTGGTTGGTTCAATTGGTACCCAATGTCAAACCAGAAACACACAAAACACTACATGACTTTGCCCCTTCCCCCCCCTGCTTTGCCCTTGAGCGCTGGCTTGTAGACGATGACGTTGGAGCCGATCCATGAGGTGGGCGGCCGGAAGGCCATGTCGGTGACCTTAAATCCGTTCTTCGGTGATTGACCGCGGCCCGACGAAGTACAAGACCAACACAAATGGTTGTCTTGAACCAGCACCCGGGGCCCAACCACTGCCTTTTGAGTCTGGCCACGGGGACAAGCAGTTGTTGGGGTGTGCTGGAATATGGTTGTCTTGAATGCGCGAACTAAAACAATGACACCAGCAAAAGCGCTAACAAAGACATGCCAAACATGTTTTGGAATGTCAGAAAAGCATGACTCTCTTTCCAGGAAACCCCCGACAACTCTGACTTTGAATGGGACCCGAAGAATGGTGACACTCACAAGCAGAACAGGGCTCTCCAAAGGATCCAAAGAACGTCAAACAACGCCACTCAAGAAGCAGACCTGCCCTGGCATGCAAACTTGCATGCAAGCCAGCCAGAAAGCAAGCCAGCAAGCCAAGCAAGCCAGACAGCCAAGCAAGCAGGCTAGCAAACGCGCAAGCCAGGAAGCAAATAATCGCCCAACAACCAAGAAAGAAAGACAAGCCAGTCAAGCAAGCAAACACGCCAATTCAAGTAAGCACACCAGCAAACGTGCCAAGCAAACACACAAAGCAGGTACGTGCAAGCAATGCAGCAAGAAATGCAGCCACACCATTCAGGCAGGCAGGCCGGCAGCCAGCCAGCAAGCAAACCAGGAAGCCAGGAAGCCAGGAAGCCAGGAAGCCAGGAAGCCAGGAAGCCAGGAAGCCAGGAAGCAAGGAAGCAAGGAAGCAAGGAAGCAAGGAAGCAAGGAAGCAAGGAAGCAAGGAAGCCAGGAAGCCAGGAAGCAAGGAAGCAAGGAAGCAAGGAAGCAAGGAAGCAAGGAAGCAAGGAAGCAAGGAAGCAAGGAAGCAAGGAAGGAAGGAAGGAAGGAAGGAAGGAAGGAAGCAAGGAAGACAGGGGAAGCCAGCAAGCAAGCAAGCAAGCAAGCAAGCAAGCAAGCAAGCAAGCAAGCAAGCAAGCAAGCAAGCAAGCAAGCAAGCAAGCAAGCAAGCAAGGCCGTACGCCAGCAAGCGAGGAATCAAGCAAACAAGCAAGTCATCAAACATATGCAGTAGCCAGCAAGTACAGGCTAGCAGAAAGCAGGCTGCCAGGCAAGCAACAAGCAACCGCAAAACCAGAACAAATCCACCAAGCAACCCAGCCACGGAGCAACCAAGCAAGTAAGCAACTGGCCCAAAATCGAAATAAAACGACCAGCCATACGGTGCTTGACGCGACCCTGAAGCTCCCCGCCACGACAATGATCGGCCGAGAGGAAAAAAGCGCCACAGATCTGGCGCCGAGATCGAATCGGGGGCGAATGGGTCTGGTGGATATGGCAAAATCCTTTCCAGGCGCCAGTCGCCAGTCAGCATAGAAGAAACCTGACTTCTGTACTAAGGATAAAGCATCAACTTGGTGCAAGTTGCTGTTCATCCATATGTTCCAATCAAAAAATGGGCAGCCTTGACCCATGGTCACATGCGACCGTGTTTCAAGGGTAACAAATAGCAAGGAGCACCTTGAGGGTACCCTGACAACCAACTGACATGCTGATTTATCTATACGTTGGTCCAGGAAGAAACTGCAACGGGGTTTTGCCCTTTGCTGAACAGATACTTATATATATATATATATATGGTACAGCGTTGCCAGCCCCCCCCCCCCCAATGGTCATGGGTCAGACAAGTACCCCCCCCCCCCGTGGTTGCGGTTCTGTGGTTGGGTTGTGGTGGTTTAGGGTTGGTTTAGAATTGGTTTAGGGTATATTTAGGGTGTATTTAGGGTTAGTTTAGGGTTGGTTTAGGGTTGGTTTATGTTGATTTAGGGTTGGCTTAGGGTGGGTTTAGGTTTAGAGGTGTACGGTTTAGGGTTTGGTTTAGGGATTGTTTTAGGTTAGTTTAGGGTTGGTTTAGGGTTTGTTTAGGTTTAGGGTTTATTGTTTAGGGATTGGTTTAGGGTGTATTTGGGGTTGGTTTAGGGTTGGTTTAGGGTTAGTTTAGGGTTGGTTTATGTTGATTTAGGGTTGGTCTAGGTTTAGAGGTCTACGGTTTAGGGTTTGGTATAAAATATATCTAAGGTTGGTTTAGGGTTGGTTTAGGGTTAGTTTAGGGTTGGTTTATGTTGATTTAGGGTTGGTTTTGGTTTAGAGGTCTACGGTTTAGGGTTTGGTATAAAATATATCTAGGGTTAGTTTAGGGTTGGTTTAGGGTTGGTTGCGGGCTGGCTTGTCCTGAGGGTGGGGGTGCCGGGGTGTCGGGGTGCGAGTTCAGGGGGTCGGGGTTGGGGTGGGACCGTAGGTGCCAGGATCCGAGACTCGGGGTCTCGGGCCGGGGGGGGGGAGGGGGTCCCGGAGTTAGGAGAGGCCATGCGCAACTTTTTTCGGACTCAAAAGTCTAGGGTCCACCCTAGGATTTTTTGCATTTTTTGAATAAGCGCACCAAAACAGCCATTTTAAAACATTTTTTGAAACAGTCTAAACACATTTTGATAAATATTTTTTTAGTACTGCATACCAAAACAAAAATTGAATTATTTTTTGAAAAATTCAATACACCTAAACATGTTTATTTTCAAAAACACACATTTTCCAAAATATTTTAGAAAATATATTTTTTTCAAAAGAGATAAATATATATATCATTTTAAGAAGAATTATTCAATAAGAAACAACATTTTCAATAATTCAATGAGAAGACTAATAATTAATCATTTTTCGAAATTTTGATATTCCGGAGTTGCGCATGGCCCACCTTGTAGGATTTTATCTTCAATATATAAAACGCTATACTTACATTATAATTATAACATATAAGGGTATAAATGTTATAATCATAGTATGGTTATATTATTCAGGTTCATCAATAATTAGTATAAACCTTATGTGTTTTACTCCTACAATATTCATTGTATTCCTTTCATTATCAATATTTCTACATATTGTTGCAACTGCGTATTCCATTACATCAGTTATATTATCTTGGTCTATAGAACCCATTAAGTGTCTACCACTATGAAAATCAAAACCATAACTGCTATATTCATCATCCTCAAAATAATTAAAATGATGAAACCTTACACGTAAAATTATATCAACTATTATTATTGCTTTATAACTTTCATATCCTACATACTTATCTAGTAAGCTATCTATTTCATCCCCTTCTTTCATAACTATATCTTCAATACTTTCAATGCTTAATGGAACCTTCCTAGAAACATAATATTGACATATTTGTCTCTTTACTTTATCACCATCTAAATTATTACAGTGCTTTGTTTCCCTTTCTATGTCAGTTTTGTCAATTTTATATCTTCTTTGTATTCTCTTCAATGTTTCATTATGATTATGCTTTATTTTCATATATTCTGGCTTGCCATATTTATAGGACATAATATTATTAATAACTTCAACTGGTAGTTTTTGAAACTCCATTTCTATTATAATATATATATATATATATATAGTGTTTATTTCTTTAAATACTTTTTTACAAGAAATAAAATTAAATATTGGAATATACTTATAACATATAATATTTTACATGTTATAATCATAGCATGGTTATAATCAAAATCATTCCCCGATTCTATCAAAATCATTCCCCGATTCTATCAAAATCATTCCCCGATTCTATCAAAATCATTCCCCGATTCTATCAAAATCATTCCCCGATTTCTGATTTCTGTCAAACTCATCACAGTTTCCAATATCAAACTACTAGGTATTTTATATAGGTCTTGTTGCTAAATAATTCTAATAAATTCATATTATTAGAAATATCTAGATTTTAATTTCCAACCATTACATATTTATCATCATTGCCCTTAATTAGTTTATAATATTCTAATGTTTGTTCTTTTGGACTTTTGATTTGTCCCTTATTTAACATATCGCAGTATTTTTTACGCTTGGTATCATAATCACCGCTAGGTCTGCCTATCCCTTTCTTTTCAAAAATCGTATTCATCTTCTCCTTCTCTTCGTTGCTTTGTTGTTCGCGTTCAACTGGTTTCATTTTGTCATCAATGGATTTAATCATATCATTTAAGGTTTTGATATTGTTACCAATTAATGTTATCTTCTTCATTAAATCATTAATAGTATAATTCTCATTTTCAGACATTACTATATATTTATTTAGATAATTATTTATTTAATTATATATTTATAAAGTGCATTTATGTTAAATCTACTCTTTAAATACTAACTTATGTCCCTGTTAAAACTAACATTAATCAAATGTTCGTTAGTTTCAATAACCATATCGCCATCTGTTCTTTTCTGAATATTAAAATCTTTATCTGATTTTTTATAAGAAAACATACATGGGACACAACTAACTTTAACTCCACCTTTCTTATCTACTGTCAATTCATTTTTAAAATTCATTATGTGATTACATTTATCACATTTTATAGTCTTACTTTCACCCATTGATTTAACACTTTCTGCTGTTTCTCTCCGTGCTTCAATATCTGGTGTTGGTCTTTCTTTGCCTTTACTCTTTTTCTTTTTTCCCATTTATATTAATATTTACATTTTTATTTTTGAGATATTGAATTCCTAACTTAATTATTTCTAATGAATAATAACAACATTTTTTTATTTTATTGTCAGTAATTATTACTTGTTCTATATTCTCCATTTCATCTATTATATTAATATAATCTGTATAACTCCTTTTCATATTAAATAATAAGATAATTTTTTTTTCATTTCTGTCTTTCTTTTCTTGTAAAGTTTTTTCATTGTATCGTCTTTATTCCATCTATATTCTACAAATTTCTGATGATATTTTGAATTTAGATGTTTAAATAAATATTTGTCATCATAAGTTTTACAACAATTGCAATGGATAACAGTCATATAATAATAAGATAAAATAATTATTTAAATTATTTAATCTTATTATTTTCATGCATAATAGAATATTGGTGGGGCACAGCACTTGGGGTTTTCATTGCACACGCGAGCGAGATACAAACTAATTAGCTTCAATGCTTATTGATTGAAGCAATGGAAAAACCTGTTCCATTTTTATGATATTCGCCACCAGCATATCATAAAAATGATGTTCCATTTAATATTAATTACAAGTTAATTTTTAAATATAATTTTCTATATATCTTTAATATCAACTATGACAGATGTTCCAATAATAAAACCAATAAACATAACTGAATATGAATTCAAACAATCTAAATATGAGCACGTGCCTAAATGACCATTTAGAAGTATTATAGTCGCGAGTTCAACGGGCGGGAAGACTGTCCTTATTCAAAATTTAATATTGAATGTTTATAGAAATTCATTCGCAAGAATATTTATATTTTCACCCAGCGTCCATAACGACCCTACATTTACAGAAGTTAAAAAATATATCAGGGACGAATTGCACGTAGATGATGAAAAAGAACAAATTTATTTTGATAATTATAATCCAAGTGATTTAGAAAATGTAATTGAAAGACAGAAGAAAATAATTAATTATATGAAATCTAAAAAGATAAAGAAACTGCATTCAATATTAATCGTTATAGATGACCACGCAGACGACCCTAAATTTGTTAGATATAGTAAATTATTACATGGATTATTTACAAGAGGCAGGCACGATGCAGTAAGTGTAATTTGTTCAACACAAAAATACAATGTTTTGGCGCCTATCATTCGTTTAAATGCCAGTTCATTATATATTTTTAGGTTGAAAAATGCCAGTGAATTAATGAGTTTTATTGAAGAAAATAGCGCCATTGTTGACAAACAGCAATTATTAGATATGTATCATCAAGCCGTTAATGACGCACCTTATAGTTTCTTCTACGTGAATATGAATGCTAAAGACATTAACAAAATGTTTCATATCAGATTTGAACAGGCGTTTCAAATTACGAATGATGAATAAAGATATTCTAATTTAATATAATATAATAATATGTCAATGAAACTATGTAGATGTGGTGGATTTTATCGTAGAGGTAATTATAATTTTCATACTAATTCTTGGATACATAAACTTTATAAAGTATTGAAAAGAAGGGCAACAGACGAGGAATTATTAAGATTTCAAAATAATTTTGTTGATGAAGAAGATTTAATAGATGATATAAGTAGTACTACTTCAACAACAATACCAGAGGATAAAATGACAGATTATGATAGTAATTAATAATATTAATGTATGTTAATATTATCAATTTAAAATAAAGAATAACTACATAGATTCAAAGCAGGTAATTTATAATATATTTTATCTTTTTTACATTCATTAACTTTTTCTAATTTATTGA